ATGTTATGCATATAACACAGTTTGTTAATCTATTCCAGGGTTGATGGGCACTTAGATTGTTTCCACATCTTGGTGATTGTCAATTGAGCTGCGATAAACAGTAGTGCAAATGTCGTTAAGATAAAATGATATTTTTCTTCTGGGTAGATGTCTAGTAAGAGAGATTGTGAGGTCAAATGGAAATTCTAATTTGAATTCCTTGAGGATTCTCCACATTTCCTTGCAAAGATGCTATATTTGCAGTCTCACCAGCAGTGTTAAAAGTGTTCCCCTCTCTCCACATCCATGCCAGCACCTGCAACTTTGGGACTTTGTAGTGTGGACCATTCTCACTGGGGTTAGGTGATACCTCAGGCTGGTTTGGATTTGCAGTTCTCTGATGATTAGGGACGATGAGACGGTTTTGTTCATGTCTCTTGCCCAGTGATAGATGGGATTGTTAGCTCTTTTTTTGTTGATTAATTTGAGTTCTCTATAGGTCCTAGTTATCAAGCCTTTGTCAGATTTATAATACGCAAGTATCTTTTCCCATTCTGAAGGTTATCTGTTTGCTTTGACTGTGCCTTCTTAGTTGTGCAGAAACTTTTTCAGTTTAATTCTCATTTGTTAATTTTTATTGTTGCATTTCCCACCGAAGTCTTCATAAAATCTTTCCCCAGGCCTACATCTTCAAGTGTTTTTCCCAAACTTTCTTCTATGATTTTAATTGTTTCCTGCCTTAGATTTAAATCTTTTATCCATCTTGAATCAATTTTTGTAAGTGGTGAAAGGTGTAGGTCAAGGTTCAGTCTTTTACATGAGATTATCCAATTCTCCCAGCACCATTTATTGGATAGGGATTCTTTTCCCAGTGTATGCTTTTGTTTGGTTTATCAAAGATCAGATGGCTAGAGCCGGGAGCAGAGGCTCACACCTATAATCCTAGCATCTGGGAGGCCGAGGTGCGTGGATTGCCTGACCTCATTCATGGATTCGAGACCAGCCTGAGCCAGAGCGAGACCCTATGTCTAAAAAAAATAGCCATGGATTGTGACAGGCACCTATAGTCCCAGCTACTTGGGAGGCTGAGGCAAGAGAATTACTTGAGCCCAAGAGTTTGAGGTTGCTGTGAGCTGTGCTGCTACAACACTCTAACAAGGGTAACATAGTGAGACTCTGTCTCCAAATAAATAAATAAAGATCAGATGGCTATATGAGATTGGTTTCATCTCTTGGTTTTCTATTCTATTCCAAATGTCTATGTCTCTATTTGGGGGGCAATAAATACCATGCTGTTTTGATCACTATGGACTTGTAATGTAGCCTAAAGTCTGGGTGGGTAATGCCTCTAGCTTTGTTTTTATTACTAAGAATTGGCTAGGCTATACAGGTTTTTTTCTGGTTCCATTCAAAATGAAGAACTATTTTTTCCAAATCTTCAAAGTATGATGTTGGTATTTCAATGGAGATTACATTGAATCTGTAGATTGCTTTGGGAAGTATAGACATTTTAGCAATGTTGATTCTTTCCAGCCAGGAGCAGGGTATGTTCTTCCATTTGTTAATATCTTCTGCTATTTCTTTTCTCAGGGTTTCATAATTCTCCTTGTAGAGATCCTTCACTTTTTTTGTTAGGTATATTCCTAGATATTCCATTTTCTTTGAAGCTACTGTAAAAGGTACCATGTCTCTGATGAGTCTCTCATCTTGGCTATTGTTTGCACATACAAAGGCTGCTGACTTGTGGACATTGATTTTATATCCTGAGACATTACTGTATTTTTTTGATGACTTCCAGGAGTCTTATGGTTGAGTCTTTGGCGTTCTCCAAGTATGAGATCATATCATCAGTAAAGAGCAAGAGTTTGACCTCCTTTGCCCCCATTTGGATGCCCTTTAAACCCTTCTCTTGCCTGATTATGTTGACTAGAACTTCTAGCGCTATGTTGAATAGTAGTGGCGATAGAGGACAGTCTCGCAGGGTATGGTTCCAATTCTAAGTGGAAAAACTTTGTTTTACTCCATTCAGTATGATGTTAATTGTAGGTTTGTCATAGATGGCTTCAGTCACTTAAAGAATGTATCACCTATGCCTATATTCCTAAGTTTTCTTGTTAGAACAGGATGCTGAGGCTTGGCACCTGTAGCTCAGCAGCTAGGGCACCAGCCACATACAGAGCTGGTGGGTTCAAACCGAGCCTGAGCCTGCCAAAAAACAATGACAACT